TTACAGTTATGGAATTTATGAATTGAGGTCTATTAATACTATGCAGCAAATTTCGAAAACGAAATTCCCCCAAAAAGAGGAGACTCATTTCCAAGGTTTTTTTGGACCACTTAATTCAAATCTGATACGGAAACCGCAATGAACGTATCTTGGAAACTAGACGTGCCAGGACAAACTAACGCCAGATTTGGATAAAGTGTGCCCAAAAACCTTGGAAATAAGTTCCTTTTTCTGTGGTTGTCTTTTGCTGTTGCATAGTGTAACTATGTTCAAACATTCAACGAAGCTCAATAACAAAATTCCTTTGATGGACACGTGTAGCTGATACAATTTGTGGAAATCGATAGAAAAAAATGGAATAAGTTCGAAAACATTTTAAATTCAGATGTAACTGGTTCGTAATTTGGTTGTTTTCGGCTGTTGCCTATTGTTTTGACACTTACTCATTGTTTTTTGTGTACATTTGTATTCTCCAGCCTGATGATGCTCTTAATAAGAGCGAAACGTCGCACAATAAACGAAGAATTATTTTCGAAAGCTCAATAACAAAATTCCTTTCGTGGACACGTGTAGCTGATACAATTTGTGTAAATTGATGAAAAAAATGGAATACGTTCGAAAACATTTTAAATTCAGGTGTAACTGGTTTGTAATTTGGTTGTTTTCGGCTGTTGCCAATTGTTTCAAGACTTACTAATTGTTTTTTATGTACATTTTTGTTCTCCAGCCTGATGATGCTCCTGACAAGAGCGAAACGTCGCACAATAAGCGAGTTACCATTTTCGAAAACGGTTTTAGCCCAACACACGTATCGGCGTATCTCCACCGGCCATGAAGAACACTGCCTGACTTGGTGTCTTAGATGACATATACTTTGCATCACAACGTCTTAAATGTTTGGTTCGCGCACTACCCCATAACCATAGGTAGTATCAACTTCTGACGGATTATTATTATTATTTATTCGGTTCCTTCATGCTTACATTTAGTTGTACAATGGTTGAGATCTACTATTTAAATTACTATACAAATTATGACCAAATTACTCAGGGAACAATATTGGGATTTTTTTTTCCATTTTATCATTTCATTTTTTGTCCAATAAGGAGAGAAATGACTGCACGAACGATCACATAAGAATTATTTCCTTGTGTCGCTTTTTAAATCTGTTAAGAGAATATTTAGTAGGCAGTTGGTTGGCATATATTCGTGATAGAGCCAAGATTGGTACGTACTCTTTCGAAACGCGGCTTTGTGTTAGTACTCGTCAGATATCTATGGTTGCTTGTGATGATGACACAAACATGTGTTTTAAGATTGCTGAGCATCTCAGCATTTCGTAAGGCACGGATATATCCGAGTATATCGAGGACGCATACAGTGGCGTGCTTTGCTACGCGCAGCCGCAACGTCTCGACCGGAATGTGTATGTTGTTGCTGCGTGCAGCCACATCAACTGAACATACTTCGGTCGAATCGTTGCGGCTGCACGTAGCAACACACGCCACTGTATTATACAGTATGCGTCGTCGATATGCTCGGATATATCCGTGCCTTACGAAATGCTGAGATGCTCAGCAATCTTAAAACACATGTTTGTGATGACATGGTATTCAGTTTCCATTATTCCCTTTCGAATTTTGTGAACCATTGATATATTATTGTTATGTTTATACTTTTTTGTAGTTTTTTCTTATTTTCTACAACAATGCCGAAGACACCCAATGAAAAACGTTTTTTCCGCTCAATGCTGAGTAGCAAAAGTGACACATTGCTCGTAACTTTTTTCGATCGAAGTTTTTTCCGTCTCAGTTATTGATAAAGAGCTCATAAGTTGTTCATTCATTCTATGGGTGTCAATTGTATGATTGCAATGTCGAAATCATAGTTTTGACATTTTTTAAAACTTTTTTTCGATTTTTACCCGGCCATCTATATCGGAAATATGTATAAAAACCTCGTTGTAATATACCGTGTGTAATAATTTCGCCATCATTCGTAGCTTCACCAGTTGTAAAGTAAAAAGTCGGACTTATGTTTAATGTGTTGGCTCGTTCGATATTAGATATATACTGGTGTTCTTTAACACGCCATATCCATAGGTAGTGACCACTTCTGATGGGTTATTCAATTTGTAATCCTTATCAACGAGTTCAATACTGCCAACGGTATCGCTGAATTCTAACGGCGTTTTCAGTGTAATTTTGGCAATATCAAATGCACCAACAATTAAATGACTAAAATAAGGGTGCCATGCAATGTTCTCTTTTTCGACTTTGATTTTAATTTTCTGGTTTGCATCTGATACAACTTTCGTACCAGCCACCACATAAACATATGGGGATTCGTGATAATTTCCGTTTTCGACAGAATAAATGCGGTAAACATATTCGTCACTTTTCTATTGGCATCATTTGGATAGTCTTTGTATTCATGCAAATATTTTGTAATAAAATCGTTTCATTCTCAGTACAAGCAATAATATTTGAAGAAAAAATGAATACACACACAAAATGGCTAGGGGGTAATCGCGAATTCTTCATCTACAAAATTCGTTTCTATCATTCAGTTTTAATACCATCTGTATGTTGACTCAAATATTTGACTAAATCTATAATCCACTATGAACGATACTTTTGACCACCACAATGTGATGAATTTTCTGACAGTAAACTGACAACGCACAATTGAAAGTTATCATTTGCAGTGAAACGTTTCTGGAGAAAGTTCGAAAAATGTCATAGTTGTAAATAATATATTGTTTGAACAAAATTATCAAGGTGTGAAAAATGGGGCAACATTGTTGACAGCGCCACACCAAAGCGGTTGCCCGGCCAACTACAGTCAGTCGTAACGCAAAGTGGCACAAGCATATCCCATTTTCTGTATACACTCGTTGCATTCATACGCGTGTGTATGCGAAAAATGGTACAAGCTTGTGCCACTTTGCGTTGCGATTGATGTATGCTTCTGATTGAAAATAACCAGATTAAAGTTAACTAAAACCAAATGAAAAGTAGATCCAAAAAAAATTAGAGAACATATTTCCTGAGAGAGTACCTTTTCTATTTATATTTGGCAAAATTAAAAAAAAATCATAGAGTTGGTTTCGCTGCAATATATTGTCTTATAAGACTTTGAAATGGATTGTTCACAATTAATTTCTACTTTCATTCTGACTAAACAACAAAGTCTTGTTGCAGCAAAACAAAGACTATGATTTCTCTAAAACTTGGTTGAATATAAGTAGAAATTATACTTTATTAAAAAATATATCTCTCAAATTATTTGGAATAAATTTTCATTTGGTTTTAGTTCATTTTAATTGGGTTTTTTTCCGAACACAAGCATACGTCAATGCTTTGCAGTAGTAACCAAGTGACAACCAACGTGAAGTTAGCTGCGTTGCCCGGTATCCATTATGTTCACCCTTTGGAAATTATAAAATCTAGCATTATTTTCAATTAACTGAAGCGTGGTTATGGTCAGCCCCTAGCAAAATTGATAGAATATTTGAATTTTTCGGACAAAAATTCACACGAAAAAAAAAATTAAAATGATTCTAAAGCAGACTTATTTACGGAGGCATGGATTCCAGCCACGAACTTTGCCTGTGACATGTTTTTAATCACTTCACCCTTAAGAAGAGCTTGCGAGAAAAAGCCATCTGATCATTGGAAAAGAAGTTGAAATTTCGGATTGAATATTATAAAAGTCTGAAAAAATCTTTTCGAATCATAAAAAGCTGGTTCGAAAACCAAAATTTGTCTTACGTTTTCCTTGAAGTTTCTAGAAAAAGAAATTTCGTGTTTAGTTCTACAGAAATATCGTATTTTATTGGATAAAAGTGAAAAAAAACTTACTGAAAATTCAACGATAAATAGCATCGAAAACAAACCGTGTAGTAGATTCATTTTAATTTGTCAACGAAACAGAGTTAATAGTATAATATGCCCATATGCGAATTGCGTCAATCGAACCGTTTGATTATTATACAGACATAAAAAATTAAATTCCTTTGATGCACACGTGTATCCGTTTTTTCTTCATTCCATCTGAATTTAAAATGGAACGTATTCCATCTATTTTGCTATCAATTTATCCCATTGACTGAATTCCAAATCGCGTTAATAAATATCGTTTTAAAAATTCATTGCGGCGCGATATGAAATTTTTTTTTTTTTTTTTAAAGAAATTTTAGGCAAAACATCATATTATCGTTGCAAACTATCCACCCGAAGCCTAGGGGCTAACCACGGATTTTTTATTGACAAAATCTGTTTTTATCGCCAAATTTTGATGACATCCGTAAAAAATTGAGAAAATCTGTATATATTGAATTTTATCGTTAAATATCGACTATAAACGTTTAATGTGCTGACGTCATTACCGATTCAAAAATGCTGGAAGTGGGTTTTGGTGCATCCTTAGGATCGTTTAGTACTGCTCCCAGTTCTGGAAGTGGATGCTCAGGATGGGCCAGGGCATTGTCGAACCCAGTCTGGTCCATCCTGAAGATCCACCAAAACCCACTTCTAGAATCGGGAGCAGTTCTGAACGATCCTGAGGATGCACCAAAACCCGCTTCTAAAACATTCGTTAAAGCAAAAAAATTACTGCAAAAATCGCGCAAAATCAACCAAAATGTGATCATATCGGAATTTATTTCTTTAAATGATAAAAAATGTTAAAGTCGGTCATTATTGGTTATTTTTAAAACCGTGGTTAGCCCCTAGCCCGAAGCTTCATGGCTTTATTGGCGAGAATGGTTCAAACAATAGATTAATAATATGAAAAAATCTTTTATGGGTTGTGTTAGGTGTTTAGAAAAATTGTTCAATTTTACCCGGGAACATACTAGATGAATTATTACCTAAAGACCAAATTTTTTGACGGTATTTTGAAATTTGCCATGGGACGGATTTATCCAAACTCGAAGTTGGATCCAAACCAACGAAGATTTGTATCGTTCATTATGTCATTTTCCATAAACAATTATATTTTCCACATATTCAAACATTTCCATTTATTTTATTGCGATTATTTCTTCCATAAGAAAAGAATATCCGTTTTATTCATTGTATAAAAAAGAATCCAATAGTTATTTGACATTTCGAGTTAATTTGTTACAATCAAAATTAATTGAATTGGAGAAAGTTTGAAAGAAATTTTTGGAAACAATTATTCTATTCTATAACATCGGAAACATGAGAAATACTAATAAAGAAAATACAAAAAATTAACAGGATGATTCTTTTTTTGTCGGTAGTTTGTTCGTTACATTGAGACTCAAGGTAAAAACGGGTATTTTCTATCGTGAGATTTTGATTTCTTTCTAAATTTGAGATGTTCCTTAAATGTTATTACCGTTATTAAAATGATTAATAATTAGAAATTGGCGAGATGGTTTCGATCACAGTAAAGTTTGTTTCTTCTATTTCTCTCCAAAAAAAGTTCTTTGAGAAAATCTAAATAATAGCGCCAATGCCGAATGTAAGCAGTATTATCCAATGGCTTAAATAGTCCAAATTGCTCCAACGTTCGTGAACCGTTCTGATCGATGCTCTAATTTCGGGTTTTTCAACAAATCCATCCAGCAATATTCCTAGATAGGCCAAATGAAGCATTGCCAAAATACGAAATCCTAAATTGAATGCCATGACCAACACATTGCGTCCATTATAACGATGTGTGCATTCGGTGCAGGAGTTGGCTAAGACGCATGCATCGAAAATTTCGGCCACTTTTTGGCGAACCGTGTGTTCAGCATAGGTAGCAAAGCCAAGTGATAACAACACTGCGGACAATTGGATATTGACGCCATGCAGCAGCGATGATATGACGTAGGTAAGTATGACCGCCTTGAGTCGACCGTGAGGTATGAGTTGCAGAAACACATCTGAAAATGGAATACAAATTGAAGTTTGTGTGAAATTGTTCAATTTTTCTTCTTTTTTTTTTCAAAAATAAAGATAAAATTTACATGTTTTGAGCCAGTAATGCATAGAGAGATTCCATGAAACCACAACATCAACGAGAGACCGCGGCAATTCAATCAACCATGGCCTTGTGATTGAATAACCCAAAAATCGATTCTGCTTTTGCCGTGTTGTAGTCAAGCCGGCCATTAGCATCGTGCAATGTGAAAAGAAACAAATGAAGTAATGACTACACCGGAATGATAGAGCTCCTTTGTACGCCGCTCCCCATCTGAAATGTAAAAAAATTAAAAGGTAAGTGAAAATAACTCAAGAAAAAGTTAATAAAAACCAAAATGATCACATTTAAAATGTGAAATTTAATTCATTTTGGAATTTTTTTTCATACGCTGAATTCAAATCTGGAACGTATGCCTCAATGAAACAGTTGGAAGCGAGCAGGAAAAATATGGCAGTGAATGCATTCAACAGAACTTGGAATATCCACACAAATGACTAGATTGAGAGGGGAAAGAAGAATGAATAAATTAAATAATGCGATTGCTTGCATCTAAACATTAAAGAAGCATCAATTGAAAATCGATTTTTTTGGCACAGTAAACTTACCCATTTCGTCCGATTGAAAATGTTCAAATAATCATTATACGCACACCATGGGCCCATTATCACGTTCCCTGGACAAAGTATGTAGCCCCAAAACTCCAAGAAATTTGGCGAATATCGTATCAATTTTCGGTCAATGTCGAAACCAATCGAAATTATTTTAACGGCAGCAATCATCTGTGTGCCACGCATTCGATGCCATGTCAAAACTGATGAGTCCAGAATTTCCCTGTAGTTTTAGAGAAATGGAAATTGTTTGAATGGGCACATTTAAATTTGATTCTAATTTTTTTGAAAAAAAGTTAAAGAAATTCCTTTAAAGCGTGTACAAACCCTGTGATTAGCGCCGCCAGGCAAAATAACGTTAGAATTATGCCATATTTCCGTTGCTTAGCGAGTGGAATAGCCAACAGTACAACGTATTCGATTGAAGTAAAGCCCAAACTGTACAAAAAGTCCGTGCCAAGTGTGGAATAGGACAGTGCCAATCCGCAAAATATTGAGGAAATATGCTGAAGCGGATGTGGAATGACAACTATATACCGAAGCGAAGAAGTTACATGGAAAAAAGATACAGATAGTTTCAATACCTAGTTGAATATTTTGTCATTGAAAAAAATAAATCTTCCACTGAACGTGAATACCCTAGGAATATGAAACTTACACGTTTGCGTTGTGATTCGAAAAGCAATATTCCAGAAAATGAATGGCAGGCTGTATTTCAAAATTTGTTGTAACGATGGCCAGGCACAGGTAGCCCAAATTTCAGCGGTGGTCGGTTCATAAATATCATATTCATCGTGCATATCGTCAAGTCGCTGATCTACGTGGTCTATCTCATAATAATCCATTTTCGAAGAATCTACACTCTTTCACACTTAAAATACAAACTAATTCAAATGAATTCGATGGAATAAAACACTTTTTATGCATACAACACGCAAAAAATGCATTTATTCCACTGGAATTTCAATGATGCTCACTTGCCGGCAAACCAAATAGCGTCTATTTCGAAATCATTTCAACAGCTGTGTTGACAGTTCGTCGGAGATTTGTTTGAGCGAAAGAGTAGGGAGACAAACGAAAATACACGTGCACGAACTTCAAGCAGCATCTCATGCAAATGTACGTCACATGTATGCATGTATGCGAACATGTGGATTTTGAACACAGGTACTTAAGATATTTTAGATATCGCAGAACTTTACAAACAAAATGCATTCATGTGAACGTACATGTTTTGGTGCAAATGTGATACTTTAGATAGATTTCGATAATATCAACCGTTTATTTCTGTTAGGCTAATAGTAGATAAACTCTTTGTAATAAAAGCGAATTCGATTTGACTCAAATACAATTGTTTGTATTTTGAAAACAAAAACCAAATAATATAAAGGGTTATCAATGCTTGCTAAGTATTTGAAAGAAAATAAAAATGTAAATATGAAAAAAAAAATGTCATCAATTAACTAGATCCAAAATTGAAATTACAAATTTGTGAATATCAAAAAAAACACCACTGATTCCATAACAAGATGAAAAAAAATTATATTACAATTTTTTATTTAGAGCATATAAAAATTGGGAAAAAAATCCATGGTTAAATTTAAAACGGCTTTTAAAGCGCATCAACAAAATGCTTGATCATCTGCATAGATTCGATAGTTTTTGATAAGAGAAAAGAATTCGTCACGTTCATTATGATTCATGTGAGTGACTTTTTCCATCAAGTTTTGAAAGTATATTCCATCGAATTGTGATACAATCTCAGCCATGCCTATGTCAGTACGCTGAAAAGTGTTGAAGACAATTAAAATTCAATTAAAGTTCAAGTAAAAATCATCGGTTTTCTGACCTCAAAGTGGCGTAAAGGTAACAGGCCAGCGATTTCAAAATTTTGGCGCACATTAGTAAATGAGATGTTATAAATTTGAGCGACCCGAATGTGATTCGGATTAATCTTTGTTGGATATTTTACTCTTTTACGGGAATCTTCTAACGATCTGACTTCAGTATATAGAATGCAATCAGCTTCGCAAACATCGATCAATCCGTTCTGATTATAGAACAATTGGAGAATTCAAAAAAAAATTATTATTCTTCGAACCGGCTGTTCGACATTCATAACAGCGAAAATGTTGTTCAATGGGGCTTACCTTGACCAAAACGTACAAAGTTGCTCTTTTTGCGCTGAATTTTCGCAGATGTTTTAGTTCACGAATGATTTCATCAGGGATGCCCATAATCCAGCCCAAGATTTTATATCGAAACTCAATGATATCAAGATCTGTGTTGTTAAGGTATAAATCGTCTAAGGGGGGAACTGAAACTGAAGTGATAGCAGACTGTTGTATTGCAGTAAAAGTATGACTCGTTGAAATTGTATAAAATTGACGACTCAGTTTGAGTTGTTGATTAATTGTGCCTACATTCGGGATAGATAGGTTTTTCTTCACTCGCCGCGTAATCTTCGTCAAGACTTTTCTTTGCCAGTAATGTAAATGTGAAGGATTCATCATTGTTTTGTTTCCGTAAAAGGCCAATTTTTCGTTGCAACCAGCCGATTGACAGCTTCGAGAGGCTCACGCCTTCTCCACAACCGCGCATATCATAAAAGTTCATATTGATGCCATGAATGGGACCCATAATCGTCATATACGCTGGATAGCTCAGCGTGCCAAGTAGCTTCATTGCAATTGGATCCGTAATTATCGCCGTTGAATCATCATCGATTTTATACGATTCAAGACTTTTTTCAATCAACACCCGTATTTCATCGAAAGCATTGCCAAAGATTTCAGCTATATCAATATCTGTTAGTTCATTTCGGTCAAGTTGGCGTATGAAACGCGCAACATTTTTCACTTTATCTTCAGGTTCACCCAGCGTACGATGGAAAGCATTTAGACTATTACGATGTGCTTTCGTAAAATCATTGCCTATCAGAGTCGCCAATAGCGGTAATTGCTTTTTAGTGAGCGAGCAAATGGTTTCAATGGCTGTTTTATTGTATTCACAAGTTACTAAGTTACCCGATTTGATTTTTATGTCATCGGATGACCAAAGTCTCCATGAACCATCAAACATAAGAAAATCCGTATCGCATGACACGATTGCCATAGCATTATTCTGCTTTGCATAGCGCAGAATTTCCAAGTCACATTCATGCTTAATGGTATAGTTCATTTCACCGAAAATCTGTGCAATCAATTCCATTTCGTAGCATAGTGACTTTAGCGCCAGCCGGTATATTCTGGGCATTTTACACATTTCTTCTGGTGTTTTCCCATCACCAATCCAATCATATAGATCGGTGCATTTTTTAAATTCTAAATTTCGTCGGCGTAACCATTCACCTTGTTTACCAACTTGAATATTATAATCACTGAAAAATACTAACCGACAACCAATTTGCAAAAATTTCAACAGAAGAGATTTCAAATATTCCTGAATGTGTCGATGACGACCACCATACACAAATTGATCTTTAAATTGTCCCACAATTCCATTACTCACGCTCAAAAAATCCATTACCAAAATTGGTTCTTGACCACGATGCGTACTGGAAAAATGAAGAAACATTGTTTCATGAAATTGCATGCATTTCATCACATTTCAATTGGATTTCATCATATCATTCAGAACTTTGCAATAAATTTTTTTTTTGTTACCGTTTCCACTTGTTCACTTCTCTCCGAATATCAATTGGAACAATTTGATTTTCATTTCTCAAAAAATTTGTCAATCCTTCGATACCCATTTTTTAAAGTAAATTTCTTTTTAGAATGTTTGTTTATCAAATAAAAACATCTGATTTTCAAAGTTTGATAAAAACAAAAAACAAAAAACTTTGTTTGTCTTTATACACTCGAAAACAACTGCACTTGACTCTGACATCAGCGTGAATGTGCGTCTTATACTATATTTATTTGTATTAATATCAATGATTGTTCAGTCGTATTTATTTCGTTTGGCGTTCTGTTAGGCGTTAATTTGTTTGCATTACTTTCGCTGAATTCAATCAAATTCACGCCTTTGTATACTTTATACGACATTTTGGCGATATTTTGAATGCTTTTTTTACACTGAATATTTATTTTTCGATTGAATTCTTTCTAATTCTAAAAAAGATCTATTCCAGAAAGTCAAACATGAGTATTTGCTTCTATTCTTTAGACTCATAAGTTACTGTTTAGTCTTAGTTGACATTTGCATAGATGCGATAGGCTTTGATCGGAACAAAATAAGATTCACGTTCCACGAAGTCCATTTCAGAAGTTTGTTCCATCACTTTCTGGAAATAGACTCCGTCAACCTGTGGTACGCTCTAAAAACAATGAGAAAAATATCAAGATAAATTTCAGACTTTTTCATCAAATTATTGATAATAATTAATGAATTTCAATTGTTACCTGAATGTATGACTGTAGACCAGCAATGGAGAAGTTGTCTGAGACCCTTGTGAAGCAGTTGTCATAAATATGAGCTGCTCGAATGAATCGTGTTGTAAAGACAGTTGGATAGCCAACTTTCATGTCTTCTCCCGAATTAAACTTATATTCTGTGTATAAAATTCCATCGGCTTCCTTCGCTGTGAGTAACTCACTCTGTGGAGATATGTTTTAATTACCATTTAATGAAAAATCCAAAGCCAAACTATCTATAAAAATGAATACCTTGACTAAAGCGTAGAGAGCCGTGCATATGACTAAATAATTCTTCGGTAGATTTTTTAAAGCAAGAATAACTTGGTTTGACAATGACATGATGAAGCTAAGAATCTTCCATCGAATTTCGGTATTCTCGCGATCATCAACAGTATCAGTTTGGATGTATAATTGATCCAAAGGAGGCAGTTGAACTGAAAAATGCAATTTTTTTTATTAGAAGCTGATTTTTTCTACACAAATCGCTGATCACATTTAAAAAAAATATGAAATTTTGACTTACATTCCGGATAAATCGGTTCTTCTTTGTGAATAATGTAGTCTTCGTTGAATTGTTTCTTCGTTAGCAGAGTAAACGTGTATGGAATATTGGTCCGTTTTCGAATGATGCCGGTTTTACGTTTAGCCCAATCCGTTAACAGCAATGGCAGATTAGTTTCTGACTTACAATCGCGCATGTCATACATTCCGAGGATAATATCCTGAATTTCACCCATGTAATACATATACAACTCGTACATGCCCGTATTCAATAGCTTCAGTTCCATTGGATCTTCAATGATCACAGGAGGGAAGTCAATATTATATGAGTCAAGACTTTGTCTGATCAGTCTTTGAATTTTGTTATCGGCTTCTCCAAAAGCGTGTTGTGTAAGTCGTCTAATATCTAAATCCGATAGATGAGCACTGCCCACCTTTTTCACATAGCGAGCCACATTTTTAACGACAAATTTCATTGGGCCCAAGCTAGTGTAGAAATTCACTAGTTGATCGTAATAATCATGCGTGAAATCGTTGGTCAACAATGTGGCGAGCAATGGCAGATGATGTTGTGAAAGTGAACAAATGGTTGCAAGGCCATTTCGATTGAATTCGATGGTTCTCATTTGATTGAGTGGGCCCATGTGTAAGTCTTTCGCCGATCAATATCTCCACGGGCCTTCGAATATAAGGAAATCCGTATCAGACGAAATGATAGCCAATGCATTGTGGCGCGTTGCATATTGAGCTGTTTCCAAATCGCATTCACGTCTAAAGGAATAATGAACTTCACCAAATGTTTCTGCCATCGTCATCATTGACGGAACCACTGAACCAGGCACAACACCTTTGTCCATGCCACTCAAGTATTCAGTTATCAATCCGAGCTCAATATGGCCATATAATTGTATGTATGTTTTGAATTCTCTGTTGCGGCGCCGGAGCCATTCGTCAATTTTTCCCTCGTTAACATTCAAATCAATGAAAAACACAAGCGAACCGCCAGTGGCTTTTAGTTCTGTCAATAATTTCTTCCACGCATTCAGCAGAGTTTGATGTCCACCACCGCAAACACTATCCAATACAGAGTTATGTTTGTTCCCAAGCAAAAGCATAAATTGTAGAAATCGATTACGAGCAGCGGTGTTTCGCCAGGATGCTTCCTGTTCAAATTGTAAGTAACATTTCACTGAATGAATATCGTGAAAAATTATGCAAACATCGAAGTAAAACAAATACACACGAAACTTTTACCTACCTCTTCCAGTCATCGATCTCTTCGGCTAATTTAATTGGACGAACCTGTCGTTCACGCTCAAGAAATGTTTGCAAGCCGCGAACACCCATTTTTTTTTTTAACTTCAAAAGTGCATTTACTTCGTTTATTGGAATTGCTGAACAGTTTATAAAAGTCGAGCGGTGCAAATGGAATGGTTTAACAAATAAATAAATGGTCAAGTGTCACATTTTGACACTGACGTTTGGTCGGGCGTCAGATGATCACTTGTTTACATTGTTGTTGTTGTAATTGAAAGAACCGGATTTTCATATGAAAGTTCTTTGGATTTTAGATTTACAAACAATTTTTATGGAATCATGCTGTCCGGTAAGGTAAACTTTTAACGAAATCTATTCGAAAGGCGTATTTGTTTTATTTCATGGAAATAATGGACAAAAAATAAATCCCGAACTTATATCGACATTGCTTTTGCTCTGTTCATATATGAACTTTTAGAGAATATTCGTTCTTAAATTACTACTTTTGAATTCATATATAGCTTCTCATACAGCCTTGTATATTTGTTCTTATTTTGTGGGTTTTCAAATGTGAATCAGTAAGAATAATCTTGACCTGCAAAATTGAGTGAAAATAAATGTGAAACATAGAGTTTTTTTTATATGGACTTTACAACAACAACTCCATATAAAAAAAAAACTCTATGTTTCACATTTATTTCTACTCAATTTGACAGGTCAAGATTATTCTTACCCATTCATGTGTCCTTGTCTTAGTTGTCGTTTGCATAGATGCGATAATCTTCGATCGAAGCAAAGAAAGATTTACGTTCCGTGACATTCATTTTAGAAGCTTTGCTTCGCTCCGCTCTGCGTTCTTGAGTTTTTAGTTACTCAATCTATTTTGTTGTTTCACAACAAACTATTTTTTGGCTCACTACATGAAATCTATTTCATCAAAGTAACTTCGAAGTAATATATTTATTTGCAAAATGAATTACAAGATCTTGGTTTTTAATATCTTTTTTGAATATACTGCCTTTGGTTTAAATTAAATAAATAATATGAGCATAGAATCTGAAATCACTTTAATTTTGGTCAAGACTCAGAAAATATTATACGAAAAATTAATGTGATTTTTAAACAACATTTGATAATAAAAATTTGATTGGCGATTTGAGATATTATGCTGTTTTAGATTAAATAAAAAAATTGAGCATAAAATTCAAATTCACCATAATTTGTTTCAACACTCAAAAAGTATCTAGGAAAAAAAAGTAGCAGATTAGTTGCTTTACATTTCATGTAGTGCTAAAAATATGCACATCATCTTGAACGATGTATTTGGTTTATTTCCATCACAATAATCAACAAAGTAACATTTTATGTAAAACTATGCCTAAATGATGTTGTCATAAATCCTATACTTTTTTATGGGATTAAACAAATTGTCGCGTTCATGCGTATTCAACGAGGTGATTCGTTCCATCAGCTTCTGAAAATATTTTCCGTCAAATTTAAGTAATTCCTGTAATAAACCATCCAATCGAAATAAAATTTAGCCTTGTTTCTGTTATTTGAAAGATAACATCATTTTTACCTGGATATGCGGCAATAGACCTGCAATCGAGAAATTCTGTCGAACATGTTCGAAGGTGATATTGTAGATATGAGCAGCGCGAACATATTCTGGGTTAAGTGCAACGGGATACTGTACATTTGAAGTTGTATTTGCCAAAACCATACATTCAGTATGGAGAATTCCGTCAGCCTCTGCAGTACCAATCAATTTATTCTGCAAAAGTACATAAAATTATGAATTTCATATGAAAAATTATTCAATCATGATTGATTCAGACTCTGTATAGTCTCTGATTCAGAAATAAACCATCCATTTTCTCTTTTTTTTTTCAATTCTTAAGTGCAGCTTGAAAATTGAAAAGAAGAGAAAATGGATGATTGAAAAGCGATTACCTTGACCAACACAAAGAGAGTGGTGCTGATCATCAAAAAATCTTTGGGTAAATTTTTGATAAGCGAAATCTCGTCATCCGAAAGTAACATGATCCATGCAAGTAGTTTCCATTTGATATCGATAATTTTCGAATCGTCTCCATTTCCAACGTATAATTCGTCTAAGGATGGCAGTGCAACTGAAAGGAGAAACATTAGCATTAGTTTTTTCTAATTGAAAAAAATGCATGAAAAATCAAGATTGAAAATGTATAGGATCAAGTCTTCTAGCGATACTTACAATCGGGACAGATCATTGTTTCAGTGTGAGCCCTGAACTTTTCGTTGATTTTCTTCTTGGCCAATAATAGAAAACTATCGTTAGTATTCCGTTTTAAAATGCCTTTTTTACGTTTGATCCAGTCGATGAGAAGCATTGGGAATGTGGAACCAGGTCCGCGCATATCATAGAAACACATTGTGGCTCCTTGAATGCCATAACCGATTGTCATATACGGTCGATACATGCGGGTATTCAATAGCTTCAATTCTAGTGGATCATCAATGTGTACGCGAGGGACATTAGTATTATACGAATCAATACTTTCTCTGATCAGCCTTTCGAAATGGTCAAGTTTTTCATTATTCTCTCCAAACACATGTTTTGCAATTTGCTTGATGTCTGCGTTAGTGAGATTAGCACGTCCGACTTTACGAACATAGGTTGCAACATTTTTAACTCGATGTTCCATCGCGCCCATGCGCTTATGAAATTTAGCCAATTGAATGAAGTTGATAAAATCATTACCCAATAATGTAGCAAACAGTGGTAGTTGATGTTTGGCGAGCGAATACAGTTTTGGAATAGATTTTCGATCAAATTCAATAGTTTTCAGTCGCTGTGATTTGTTTCGCATACCCTCAGATGACCATAGTCTCCAATTTCCGTTAAAAATCAGAAAATCATTGTCGTTCGAAATGATAGCCATTGCATTGTTATTTGTGGCAAATCTCGCAATTTCCAAATCACATTCACGTCGAATGGAATAATTGAATTGACCATAGTCTTGTGCAATCACTGCCATTTGATAAAATGTTGAACTAATCGCCCGTCTCCCTTTTTTCATTTGGCTAACGGCAGTACTGTCAATGGAATTGTAGAACTTAGTATACTCTACGAATTCTCTATCGCGTCGACTTAACCACTCGTCCACTTTTCCCTCTTGAATGTTTAAATCCGAAAAAAATACCAGCGTACTTTCGGTCGCTTTTAATGCATCCAACATTTTCGTCCAGTCACTTAAAGCGATTTGATGTCGGCCACCACAAAGAGCATCTTTAATATTATCTCCATAGCTATTTGCCAAACATAAGAAATCAATTACAATTATTGGTTTCTTGCCAGGATGCGATCTGCAAAATTGGAAGAAAATTGTCCTCGTTAACACTAGTGTCAATGTGAATATGCGTTTTTTCATGTAATATTACTTTTTCCATTTCTTGACTTCATTTGCAATGTTGATGTAACGCATTTTTTTCTCTTTCTCCAACACAGTTTTTAAACCTCTAACACCCATTTTGAGATGTTTTTTTGCTCTGGTGAAGTTATGGCAATTGCATACAGCGTTGTTTGATTTGAAATTTATTTAGATGAAGATAAGTTATTTAAAAACAAAGCAGAACAACACAAAACTTCATAAAATATTTATCATGCTACTTGACCGGTTTCGACATTGACATTTCTTTCTATTTTTGTTTACTTTGTCTTTGTTGTTCAAAACCAAAAGTACTTTGATACTTAGAATTTCACGTTAAATTTGCTTCTTCATTAGGGTGGTCCAAACTGATTTATCATGGTAAGGTATATGCTCCCAATAGCTTAAAATTAAATTGGGCTCAAAACTAGCTGATTCCCTTTTTCAGATCAAAAAAATGTTGAAATCTAGTGGTCGATAGAGCCGTACTTAAAATGGGTGTTTTTGACCTATTTTTCAACATATATATTGATAGAAAACCCATAGGTTATTCAAATCGAATCTGGTGACATATCATTTTTAGAGTTTTCTGGGACGTTGAACACGAATACGTTGTCAAAAATTAGCTAATTTTGCTTTCTAAAAAAGTTTTAGTACAAAAATATGATTTTTTTAAACAAATTCAGCCATACAGCAAAAATACATGGTTCCAAGTGCATTTTTAACACCAAATTTGAACTCAGCGTCTCAAATTACCTTAAGATTGACTATGCTGATGACAAAAATCGAATAACCTGAGAACTTAAATGTTCTAGTAGTGTTCACGTATCGAAAAAAATCACATTTTTCCACCAAAAGTAAATTTTTGTTCAAAACAGCCATTTTTATGGTTTTTTAGGCCGCAGAATTCGAATCCACCCAAAAATAAATAAAAAAAATTCAGTGGGAAAAATTGATATTTTTCTATACATTTATACGGATTTTTTTGCGTTTTTTCGGTTTTTCCCCCAAAACTCGTACCCCATATGCAATGGAGCAGATTTTTGTTGAGCAAAGTTTTGGATCTCGCTGAAACCTACAATTTTGTTGCAAGCAGTCATCACTTATCTCTCATCAGTAAGGAGATATTGGCCTTGATAGCTCTTATCAATTATCACTGTTATCTCCTTACTGATAAGAGATAAGTGATGACTGTTTGCAACAAAATTGTAGGTTTTAGTGAGATACAAAACTTTGCTGAACAAAGCTCTGCTCCATTGCATATGGGGTACGAGTTTTGGGAGAAAAACCGAAAAAACGCAAAAAAATCCGTAAAAATGTATGAAAAATTTCACTGAAATTTTTTTTATTTCTTTTTGGGTGAATTCGAATTCTGCGGCCAAAAAACCATAAAAATGGCTGCTTTGAACAAAAATTTATTTTTGGTGGAAAAATACGTGGAAAAATGTGATTTTTTCTCAATTCTTCATTCTTTGTATGATTATCGATGGTCTGTGTCATTTTTTCCCTTCAAAAATGCATTAAAATTGAATATTTATTTCAATTCTACAGTTTTCCAAGTCCATTTTTAATTCATAGTTAATTGACTATAATCAAAACTTAAGTTTAAAAGTCAATTCCGATGAGCTAATTCAAAACCAAGAGAATTCAATTTTTGCACTCGTTTTATTTTATACAAATAAATAACAAAAATATGTATGTTCAACTGATATTGGCATAAATCCTATACTTTCTGATGGGATTAAACAAAATTTCCCGTTCAGCCGTATTCATCGAGCTGATTTTCTCCATCAACTTTTGATAATAAACTCCGTCAAATTGAAGAACTTCCTGCAATGTGTAAACATACAATCAAAACTCGGATTAAAAATTTATTCTATAAGACGTGGCAGTTAATCGCATTTTTACCTGAATGTATGGCAGTAGACCAGCAATGGAAAAATTTTGTCGAATTGACCCAAAGGTGATATTGTACAGATGGGCAGCGCGAACGTTTTTTGATACGACCGCAATGGGATATTCTACATTCGATGTTGCGTTCGCATAAACCATACTCTCCGTGTAAAGAATTCCGTCCGCCTCTTCCGTGCCGATCAATTCGCCCTGCAAAAACACACAAGAGAATAAATCATGAACGAAAATGCACTTGAACATTGATACATTCAGTAAATTCCATTCTGACGTAACAACTGATCAAGTCAATCTGGATATATTTGGATCAAGTATGTTTAACTGAGGTGAATACCTTGACTAACGCAAAGAGAATGGTGCTGATCAACACATAGTCTTTCGGCAAATTTTTGATGAGAGAAATGACATCTTCCGAAAGTGACATGATCCATGCAAGAAGTTTCCATTTTATGTCGATAATTTTCGAATCATCATCAGTTCCAACGTATAATTCTTCTAAGGAAGGCAGAGGAACTGAAAAGACGTGGGCATAGTAAATAAAATAAATAAAAAGAGAGAAATATGATAAATTAAATGGAAAATCTACGAAAAATTGAATTTAACCAAACTTTTAGTAATACTTACATTCAGGACAGATCACTGTTTCAGTATGAGATACAAATGATTGATTCATGTTCTTTTTTGCTAAAACTAAAAATGTTTCATTGGTATTCCGTTTTAAAATGCCTTTTCTACGTTTTACCCAGTCGATGAGAAGAATTGGTAAATTGGCACTGGATCCTCGCATATCATAAAAACCCATTGTGAAGCCATGAATTCCACAACTGTTTGCCATATATGGTCGATACATGGCCGTATTCAATAGCTTTTGTTCCAATGGATTGTCAATTTGCATGGGCGAGAAATCAATGTTGTAGGAATCAAGACTTTGCCTGAAAAGTTGCTGCAATTCATCGTTGGTGTAGCCAAACACTTGCTGAATAATTCGACTGATATCGAATTCGTTGAGATTAACGTTGCCAAGCTTACGAACATATCGTGCAACATTTCTAATTCGATATTTCATCGGGCCCATGCTGCAATAAAATCGTGCCAATTGATTATAATAGCCATGCGTGAAATCATTGGCCAATAATGTGGCAAAAAGTGGCAGTTGATGTCTGGCGAGAGAACAGGTATTTGCAATTCCATTTCGATTATATTCAATGGTTTTTAGTCGATTCGATTGCGTTATGTGAATGTCTTGTGGGGACCAAAGCCTCCAGTTTCCATCAAATATGAGGAAATCGGTGTCGTTCGTGATTACAGCTAATGCATTGTTATTTTTAGCATAATTTGCAATTTCCAAATCGCATTCTCTTCTAATTGAATAATTGAATTGGCCATATTCCCGGGCTATCACAGCCATGCCGTAAAATGTTGACGAAACTGACTTTTTATCACTTTGCCGCTCAATCACTTCTCTTAGTGATATGCCACTGTCGATCAAATCGTATATTTCCGTGTAGATGAGAAATTCTTCATTACGTCGATTCAACCATTCGTCCACTTTGCCCACTTGGATGTTCAAATCCGAAAAAAATACCAAAGAACTTCCAGTTGACTTCAGTGCATTCAACATTTTCTTCCAATTTTCAAGCGCGATTTGGTGTCGACCACCGCAAATTGCATCTTCTTCCTTCTTTGTCAAGCCATTTGTTAAACTTAGGAAATCTATGACGATGATCGGTGTTTTACCGGGATTCGCTCTGCAAAATTAATAAAGGTATGCAGATAAAACATGATGAAGTGAATAATAACACTTTAGCAGTATTTTGAATACAATTCATTTGTTTCAATTCGTTACCTCTTCCATTTGTCGACTTCATTTCCGATATTTATTGGACGAGTTTGTTGTTCACGCTCCAAAAATGTCTTCAAACCACGAACACCCATGTTGACATATTTCTTTTTTTTTAAATGGGTAAAAAAGCTAGGACAATTACAAAATATAAAAAAAAAAACAGAAACAAAACTGTTTCATATAGAAAAACGTGCTAGTTGTTGCTGTGACACTTCAAAGCAATGTAAATACACCGGTTTTGACACTGACGTTTCCCTCTGTCTCACAATATTTACTTTTTGTTGTTGTAATCCATCCAAAACCTAGGTATTTTGAATACTTTGGAATACCTTCCATCAAATTCAAAACAATTCGAATTTTGTGTTATTTCAATTTGTTTTTATTTTTGAGCCAGTTATGCCGTTATTATTTTCATAAGAAGTAGGTTCTTTATATAAATATTCCATTATATTTGGAAAAAAAAAATCTTGAGAGACTCTCTATTAACCTCTTTTATCTTGTTTCCCTTTTTCCTTTCTGTGAGAATGTCTTAAAAATGATTCCTGTGTGCTGTCTCTTCATTAGTAAATCCGATATGCTCGAATGGGTTCAAAGAGAGTTTCACGCTCATCGGCGTCCATTTCAGGAACCAGCTTCATTAGATTCTGGAAGTAAACCCCATCGAACTGCTGAAATTTCTGGATAAACATAGAATAAAGTAAAAAATTACAATTTTGATGTGAGATCTTCTCGGTGTATTTTGATGCTCAAAATAGTTTTCTTGTTTCGCTGCTCACCTGAGAGACTGACTTCAGTCCGGCGATTGCAAAATTCTTTTTCATATGTGGAAATACGCTATTATAGACGTGCACCGCTCGAACATGTTTCGCAGTGAGAACAGTTGGATATTCAACGTCATTTATTTGATTTGTTTGTACCATTTTGGTTGTGTATAGAATTCCGTCGGCTTCTTGGACACCAATCAATCGTGCCTATTAAAACAGAAAAACTACTGTCATAGATCTGATATGAATTTGAGATTGATTGGTTGAAGAAATCTGAGTTTGCCAAACCTTGACCAAAGCGAGTAAAATGGCACTAATCATTGAAAAGTCCGTCGGCAATTGTTTAATTGCTGAAATTTCTTCCGCAGAAAATGACATGATCCATCCAAAAATTTTCCACTTCATTTCGATGAATTCGCGATCATCTTTATTCTCTGTTTGCAGATATAGATGTTCCAGAGGAGGCAGAGGAACTAAAACGAGCATAATTATAAAAGTCAACAAATGTATTGAAGCATCAATGTATAATCGACTTACAATCAGGGTAAACCGGTGTTTCAGTATTAAACTGATACGCCTCGTTGAAACTTTTCTTTGCCAAAAATTGCAATGTAAATGAATTATCATTGAGTCGCTGTTGCAAAATACCGACTTTTCGTTTTTCCCAATCGATTACAAGCTCCGAAAAACTTGCTCCTTCAACACCGCGACGCATGTCATAAAAACGCGCCAATATCGTTTTAATCGGATCCATTATTGTCTTGTACGTTCGATACATGTCTGTGTTTACAAGTTTCTGTTCAAGTGGATCATCGATGATAGCTTCTGGGTAGTTTAGATTATAAAAATCGAGACTTTGTCGGATCAGTCGTTGATATGGTTCATCAGCTGTTCCAAAGACGTGTTGCGTGAGCCGTCTAATATCCATATCTGATAGATGCTTACTGCTATCATACACTTTGCGCACATAACGGGCCACATTTTGCCATCGATACGTCGTCGAGCCCAAGCTGTAATGAAACCGACATAGTTTGTCATAGTATTCGCCGGTGATTTTGTTGCCTATGAGAGTAGCAAACAGTGGCAATTGATGTTTTGCAAGTGCAAAAACATTGATGAGACAGTTTGGCCCGTATTCGGTGGTTGTAACTTCATTTGATTCGTTGACTTGAAATTCATCATCCTTTGTTGACCAAATCTTCCATGAGCCATCAAATATGAGGAATTCGGTATTGCTTGACAGAATGGCCATTGCATTGTGATGCGTTGCATACTTCACGATTTCCAAATGGCATTGCTCCTTTGATACATTATGGAAATCACCATATTTTTTTGCCACAGCTGCAAGCAACTGCTTTGACGCTTCCATGTTAAGATCCTTTGCAACTACAATATTCTGTAGCTCGATTCCATCCTCGATCTGATCGTAGATGTCAACATATTTTTCGAAATTTCCATTCAAACGTTCCAACCTCTTATTTATGTCAAAATCTGCGTCGTACCATGGCGCAATAAATACCAACGAACAACCGGCATTTTTCAGTGCAACAAAATAGTTTTCCCAACATTGTGTCATCGTTTGATATCTTAGACCACAAATCCAGTCATTTGGCTTCTGTTCCAGCCAGTGTGCCAAATTCGGAAAGTCGATGACAACGATCGGTGTGATTTCATCGGGATTTTTACTGAAAAGTAACGCAAACGATTGTTAGCATCACAAAAATTCAGCATGAAATTGACTCTTTCGCAAACTTACCATTTCCATTTTTTAACTTCTTCGCCGATATTGACGCTGCATATTTGATCTTCACGATTCAAACAATATTTCAAACCATAAATTCCCATTTTTCAAACAAAATTTTCAAAAACAGAAGAATTATTGGGAAATTAACACCAAAAATGTGACTGAGCACGGCAAAAGCAGTCTGAATTTTATTCCGTTGTATTTTGCACATTCAAAACACCAACTTGCTGTAAGTTCGTTGAATTTGACATTTGCATTCAATAAAACAGAGCGCGTCAGTATCTCAGCATTGCATGCGGCATTTTGTTCGGTCAAAATAACCGCTAAAAATTGAATATGCACAGGGCTGCTTGTAAAAGATGAACGGTTTTTTATTCAAAGATTTTGTTTCTAACACGAAAAAAAATGTCAGCATATAAAAACAAATATTAAAAAAAAAATTGCAATAAGCAATTCAAAAGGCAGTGCATTTAAAATGGGATTTTCGTCAAACTAATTAAAAATGGGTTTGTTAAATGGATGGCATGTTATCGGTTGATTCATTGTATTGGCCTTGTTGACGGGCTTGTTCAAAACGACGGTTGGTTATTTGATTCTTCAGCTCATCAATCTGCAACCGGTACTCCTTTGCAAGTGTTTCATTTCGTACGGCGTTTGCGTGTTCCTCAGCAGCTTTTTCCTATGAAATACAAATTTTTTAATTTCTTCCAAAATCAAAAAAAAAAAACTCATCTTACTTTTAATTCCTCCATGCGTGCTTTCAATTTGTCAATCTCTTTTTTAAATTGGCTAGATGCGGAACGTTCTTCGTCCAAATCTTTTCTGGTTCCGGTTAAAATCTGTTTTAGACTCTCTGTGGCCGCCTTGTCACCGACTCTCAACAGCGATAACTCGCCGCGCAATTTCTCAACCTCACACTCGAGCTGAATTCAAAACAAACAAAAAACAATCAATTAATTTGGTGTATATTTTGTTGAATATTCTAGGGTAGCCATACATCTTGTCTAATTTCCGAATACTCTTGTACTTCAGCATTCAATTTCTCAATTTCAATATCCAATTTGTTGCACAATTCTTTCTCTCCGTCTAATTCTTTGTGCGCTGAATCTCGTTCATGTTTATACCGCTGAATATCCAGCTCCAATTGATGCACTTCTTTCGTTAATTCACACACTTTGGAATTGCTTGTGCTTAGCTCCTGCTCACGAGCACTCAATTGAATCTGAAGTTGCACTAACTTTCCTTCCAATTCGATTACGTTGCGTCTAAAGTGGAGAAGAATGAGAAAAATTATCAAATTGAATGGATGTAAAAAAAAAAAAAAAAAAATAAGTACCTTGATTCAGCTGCTTCCAGCTCTAAACTGTGATTGGTGCCTTCCAGCGCAACGGCATCATGACTGAGGGTTTTGTATTGATCGAGCATTTCATTTCGTTCATCCTCTTTTCGATGGAGTAATTCTTCAGCTCGTTGCACTTCTTGCACATATTGTTGCAATTGCCGCTTAAGTCGATCGATTTCCTTTTCTGCATCGGCTAACTTCGTCTTTAGCACACTGTTGGTGCATTCCATTTCGGCCAAATCGTTGGTCAAACGTCGATTTTCATACATGACATTATCATTCGTTGTCTTCAATTGCTTTACTTGTCGTCGCAACTCATCCATTTCACTGGTAACTTGCTGTAATGAACTTTTGCTGTGTTTGTTGTCCGAACTGATATTGCTAAAGATCACGAATAATGGATAAATCAGTACACATTTTACAATATAAGCTCAAAACGAAATAACTCACTTGATCTGCCGATGAGTGGTCGATAGTTCTGCTTCTAATTCAATTACGCGCGCTTTCATTGTATCCATCTTTGGTTCCAGTTGAAATAGTTCTTCTGTCTTGGCATCTAATTCACTCTGAAATTAAATCGAAATCAGTATTAATTAGCCATTTTAATGAGATAATGCCAGCCAATTGATGATGAGATATTGCCAAATTGGTTTAATCCAGAATATGTCATAATCTTTCTCAATTCATAAAATACCCTCCAAGCATGATTCAAAACTCACAATCAATTTATCCTTTTCGATGGTCAATGTTGTGTTCAACGTCTTCAGTCTTGCGATTTCTGCGCGAAGTTCACCTATTTCGCGGAAGCCATCGGTCCGACTGCTGTCAATGACATTGAGCCGTGACTCAGTTTGGCTTCGTTGTCGTTCACAATGAGTTAATCGACTCTGATGCTCGATCAATGCACTTTCTGTTTGTTCTTGCAAAACCCTCAACTGATTGCTCGTCGTACGTAATTTGGTGTTTTCCTCGTTCAATTGACCAATCTGTGTTTGTAACTGAGCAACTTCATCTTTTAGAATAGTCACCGTTGACTTTGCTGTGGCTTCCATTGTTTTTAAGCTCAAATTTTCACTTTCAATCTGTCGAATGCGTTGCCTTAGCCGATCGATTTCACATTCGTCTCTGGTGTATTGATCGCGTTGCGTTGTTGCCGTTGAATGTAAATTTTCACGCAATTCACTGCATTCAATTGTCAATCGATCGATGGTCTCTTGAAGAACTTTCTTCTCTCTTTCCAGTCGATGCATGGCCGCTTCTACCGCTCGGCACTGTTGAGATGGCTCATTCACGAAAAAGTTACTGTCGAATTTTTTACGCAACATTTTTATCTCATAGTCTTTTTCTATGAGTTGCTTTCGCAATAGATTAATTTCACCGTCCGCAAGCGGTTTGTTCAACAGTTTCAAGTATTCCTGCTGATAAAAGTCACGGTCAATTTTCAATCGATTCACATCAATCGAACAAGACTGAAGCGCTGTCATCGTTCCAACATCTTTGGTATTTGTTGATTGTGACAAATTGCATTTGCATGATTCAGCCGACAGCTTTCCCTTTAATTTCGCATTTTTTTTCGTCAATTTATCCACCTCTGTTTTTAATTCACATTCTGAAGTTCGGGAAAATGAGTTTTTTGAGAGAAAAACAAAATTTTGATATGAAAAAATTAATTTTTGTTCAAGCATGAATAATGAATTGACCTTAACTCACCTTTATTGGTTATGCTTTGCAATTGTTCTTGCAAGAATTTAATTTGAAAATTGGCCGCTTTGAGATCCTTAGAGCCTCCATCGGTGGAGCTACCGATTTGTGCTTCTAATTCTTGGATTCGTTTTTTCGAATCGTTCAATTTCAATTTCAGCGCTGTGTTTCGTTTGTATAATGCATCCAACGATACATTTGCTTCGGACTCTACACTGAGCGCCACGTCTTTGATGTCATTCAATTCTTTGGTCAATTTTTCATTTTGCTCCTTAAGGCAGACGATCTCGTCGAGTGCGTTAGTTTGAGCTTTGATGGCTTGTTCGTAATTTGCTTCGAGTTCGGATTTTTGTCGTTGCATTCGTTGAATATCCTCGGCCAGAGTGCTAATGTCCCGATAACAGCAATCCTTTGCTAGAGCTAATGGTGGCCGACCACCCGTCAGCAATTGATTCAATCGACTTATTTCACGATTACGACTTTCGAGCTGGGGACGAATGAAGAAAAAAAATCAAGTTTTCAATTTTGTTTTTGGTAAATTTGATGGAAAAATGTCACTTTTTCAATCGAATCACACACTTGACATTGTTCGTGATAGATTTTGTCTCATCAACTCACCTGCGACTTATACAATTCCATCAATTCCAAGTGTGTTTTAACTTTGTTTGCTTCTTGTTCAGCAAATAGCCGTGAAATCATATCATTCCTCTCCGAATGGCAACAACATTTCGATTTGGTGTCCATATTTTCAATGGATTTCAATGTTGATGGCAAAAATTCACCCGATCGCACTGTCGACACAAACGGCTTTCGCTTTTGATTCAACAAATCGTTACGATGTTTCCGTTGTTTCGGATCGAATACGTCGAGTTTTGCATTCAATTCATCGCATTGCTGCTTGAGCTCACGATTGTCACACTCTAAATGTCGAATGGATTTATTCAATTCAAAGATTTTCTTCTGATATATGTCACGCTGACGCATCATATCCAAATGAAGAGCATTACACTCAGCCAACAGCTTGGAATTGTCACATTTGTACGGTTCCACTCCAAGATTCCATGCGGTTTTCTCCTGCAATTAGTAAGCAATCGAGTTGATTTTTGTCAAAAATTATTTTGGAGGGAAAAATGTTTGAAAATATTCATTCAAAAAATTTTAAATTTTTTTTATTTCAAACTCATAAATTCCATAGAATTTCATTCATTCAAAGATTTGTTTTGAACAAAAAAAGGCTCAAGTCCGCTTGACCATGGTGGATCAACGTTACCTTTTCCAATTCGGCAATTGTTTTCTTTGCATCTTTCAGCTGCTTATTTGTTACGATGAGGTCATCCAACAGTGCCGATACGATAGCCAGCGAACCATACGGAAGTGGTTGTGTAAAACCAAAATTATTCAGTTTTTCACGTAGTAACGTGTACCGCGCATCGATGTCCATCATCGATTTGTTTGTATCGCAACGATTCTTTCACACGAAATGGTCAACAACAAACAACGGGCTATCCAAAACAAAACTCAACAAATGCTCATTCCACGGAATAAGCACTGAATATTCATGCATAAAAACAAAACAAAGTATTTGCGTTTTTCCATTAACAATTGTTCATCGTGGAAAATAAAAAAAAAAACGATTTTAAACAGAAAAGTCAACTTGAAACTTCGGTATTGGTTTGAATCGGTTTTTGCTGTGGTCAAAACCAAACAAAATATGACGTTAAATTCAACCGATTATGGAATATTTCAGGGGAATTCAGCGCCATCTGCTGGATTTTTTTTGGGAAAATTTCGAAGAAATATTGATTGGTTTATGGAAAAGTGAGCTCAATACTTTTGGCTATATTTCGCTTTTTATGAGTTGTTTCATTCTTTTCGGTGTTTTTCCCATTATTCGTCTATTTTTAACGCTTTTCTGTTTTTTTTTTGTCTCGTTTTTCTCCGTCTTCTACTCATATCAGAGCGAATATAATTTCACTACAGCCGAAAAGTGGTCGAAATGAAACGCGAGCTCCCCCAAGCGTCACACCAGCGCAATGTTCCCAGCTGTCATCAAAGTCAAAATCGATGAACGAAGAAAAAACACACAGTTTCTGTCACACACGCAATTCCATTGAATATAAGTGCAGAATTTTTCAAAGGCACAGTGAGAGAGAAAAAATCTCGGAAATCAAAATGAATCGTTTGATGGTTGCTCGACCAGTCCTCCGGACAATGATCCAATCGAACAGTAAGTACCAATTGGCGAATAAAAACCGAAAAATGTGCATTGAAAAGTGTGTTTTGAGCGATGGAAAGTGGAAAAACTAATCAATAAGTCTGACCTGACATTACATAATAACATGGTTTGACATTCCGTGTTCTGATATCAAAACTCTGTTCATGACACCCAGAAAATGATGCTCAACGATCCATTCTTCATTCGCTTTTCCGAAAATTGATAGAAAAAAATGTGACGAAAAACCAATTTACTTGTATTTTTAGTTGCTCCATTGCAGCTACGGTTTTCACATGATCACGGGCCAAGTCCAAAGGAAATCGGACCACCAGCTAGTTTCAATCAACTTCCACATCCAGAAGGTGATTGGGCCGAAAATCATAACAAGAAACAATCCAAGTACAATGCCATCCTGGCCGCTTCGGCTCTTTTCTTCGCCGCTACCTTCGGCTTCGTAAGTATCCACACACCGAAATTCGCATTCAATCAGAAAAATGTAAGAGCACATTTTGTTAAAACTATTTGCTTTTTTTTCCTTCCATTTCTAGATGAAACAATCGGGTATTATCTACTTCAATGCCTCACCACCAGAAACCTACGAATAAATGCTTGAACCGAGATACTATAGCCCAAATTAGTTGAACATTCAGCATGTAAGAATGATAATAAGAAACAAAAAACAAAATAAAGAATGAATTATGTGGCAAATATTCTGTACATTTGCGTCATTGTGTCATAATTTGGCCCACAATTTGAATGCAAAATGCGTGTGTACGTTTCACACTTCACACCATTTGCAGCAAGCTTAAACAGTTTATAATTTGTGGAAAAATAAATTTAAAAAAAAATAGAATCAAAAGTCGACCGTGTTTTTGTATGATTTTCTTTTAATTGCATCTTTATTTCGTTTACTTTCAATGCATTAAATCATGATTCATTTTAAAAGGTATGAGACAATCGTTTTTATGGAATGAACATTTTTCTTTTCTTTTTGTTTGCTGGCTTTGAACTGATTATCTAAAAAAAAAATACAATGATTTTGTGAAGTTTCTTAACCTAGATGCTTATGAAAAATAACAGTTCTTTTTAATTGATTCTGGCAAAATGCATAAATCCATTGTTTTGTTTTTGCATATTTTTCTATCTTTTTTCTTTCTTTTTTCTTTTAAATTCGATTGAAATGTAGTTTAGAAAGTACAGCGCGTCTGACACAATCGTATCCTACCGATTTATCGGAATGAAATTCAATTTTAAAGCCTTTTTCCAAATTGATCGATTTAATATGATCTGGAGAACGATATTTTCCATTTAGTCCACGCAAACTAATCTTATATTTAAATTCAAGTTTTATCATAATAGGCTTCTTCAAACCAACCTTTATCATCTTTGAACCGCTCTCGCCAAATTGTGTTCGCCGTTTTCCTTCACATAGTTTTTTCGATGTTGTTGAACCAATTTCGGTGATGGTGAGGGTTACTTCAGAGACGAATATGGCTGTATCATCAGTATGTGGCTGAGTATAAACACCACCTAACAAAATACGTTTGTTTGATGATATTATTCCCAAGAGAAACGGCCAATATGTTTATACGCTGTCTATCCGCCGAAAATGCACTACAATATATATTCACGCTTATTGAACGCCGAATTGAATATATATTCTAGTGTATATTCGGCGTATTCTTCGGCGTGAAACATATTGAAACATATTTAGGCGGCTATGAATGCATTCGTTGATTCAATATGTTTCATGCTGAAGAATACACCGAATATACACTAGAATATATATTCAATTCGGCGTTCAATAAGCGT